AAATACAGAACACAAATAAATTATTACCTTCATTAAAAAACACAAAAAACCGCAAATTTGAACTATCCTACCCTCTCTCGACAACAATTCAAACCAGGATGGCCGTAATGTAAAAAGGCGTTTTTGCTCTCGAGACGACGAAGAGAGCTTTTTCCTTTTTAAAAAGTCGCGCGGTTGCGATCTCTCAAAAGATTTGTGCATCGTCGTAAAAGTTATGTATACCCTGGTGCCTGGTGGAACCAGAGATTTGTTATACCTAGACCGCGCATAGCTCAAGTTGAATGTTGTCAACATGGTAGGCCACCCACCGAACTCGTAAAGGCAAGAACTTTAGCGCTCCAATCTTCACTATTTGTTTTTGCTGGGATTATATCGCTGAACTGGGCTAGTTTTTCAGTATTTTTTAAAATTTCTTTGCTGAATCGAAAACGCACACTTTCTAGACACATAATGTTCTCAGAAAAGGTTATAAACGGTAATAATGAAATAAATGTAATCTAGTGTAAATTTTCGTATAAGGTATTTTTTTACCGGATAGTTTACATCTAGGTATAGTTATGTATAATGGAATGGAAAAAGCAGAAAAGCACAAGAATATTTTGAGAAACAATCTTTGCGATAGTGTAACAGAGATATGAATTTGTTTAGTCGGCGTCTTTGTTGTACGTCGCGCAGAAACCTCCACGGATGTAATTTGTTTTTGGCACTTCAAGATCATATCATCATCATATATATCATAATCATGTCCTGCAGGCTGCAGTGAATAAACTTAATACTGAAGGTATTCTTTACAATACGTATTCATTACGAAAATAAGAAAATAAACGAAGTAGATGTGAGAATTAGACATTTATACAACAAATGAGTATTGTTTAAAAGCCAATAAACATTTTTATGTCGATAAGCACATTTCATTTTACCATTGAATAAAATTTTAATGCTATGATTCTAGTTATTTCGACTGGTTATATGTAGGATCTTGCTAAACTGGTTCGCGCTTTGCCATTACGAGTATGATGTGTTGCCTAAACATGTTGGCATCACTCTTTTATACGCGAGTGGCATTGTATGCGCGGTCTAGGTATAACAAGTCTCTGGGTGGTACCCATCTCAAATGTTTTGCTCTGGTTTTGGCTTATTTATAGGTACCTACTTACCTCCTGTTGTTATGACGATCCATATCCATCCATCGATCCATACAGGGAACCTTTTTGGAATTGAAGCTATTACGTTTAATGTTTTCAGACGTAATCAGGTTTAAGGGTCCGGGCGCCGACTTACCATACACTTACAGTTGGCAACTCTGGGAAAAAATTATAAACATGTTGGAATGTAGGAATCGACGTTTCGCACCACTTTCAAATCTCGCAAGCATTAGGCTAGGACTGGGTGGTACCATACTTCTTTGGGTATCCATTTTTCCTTCTCTAACTCGAGGTAGGGTGCAATGATAATCCACGTTTAAGAACTTTAAAACCTTCCCCATAAAATTCAATTTATTCAAAAATTTTACGTTGAAAAATAAAGCTAAAGCGACATGTTTCGGCTAACAAGCCATCATCAGGCCCTAAAAGTTCGGCTTTCACAAATTTGATAAGTAGCCAAATGGCGATAAAACTTACCTACAATCTTATAAAACTACCGGTAACGGTACAAAGTCCATGATATAAACAAGTGCAGCGGAAGATGAACCCTGACGGGGAACACTCCAACCGCGCAAGTTAAAAGTCGCCTTCCTGAAGGGAAGATTAACCTTCATTTCATTTTTCGGTTTCTTTGATGTGCCGCCAATGAGCGAAAACTACGGAATGCATCTGGTTAACATTCGTGTCCGACCATCAGCGTGATTGGGATCAATAACTGCACTTGTCCCTGATACCGAACCGTTCCGCGATACAGGAAACTATCGGGCAAAGTCCAGCTTCCGCGTGTTGGCCGGGAACGCGGGAACCCAAGTTGCCGTGCGATTTCCAGTTTGGTACCCGAAACCCGACCAAGAAGAAACTGTGGGGAACGAGTGGGTAGGTACGTAGAAAACCTGCGTCAAAAGTGGGTGCCATCCATAATAAAGTTCGCCATAATATGCAGTTAACTAGCGATAAAATGAAAGTGCAGTATATGTACGACGTGAAGGCCCAAGCTGGTGGGTTATCAACCTGGAGGTCTGGTTTGGTTGTATCGTCTCCAGAGAAGACGCGGACTATCCCTGAAGTTACAAAAGAGCTTGGAAAGGACCGTATACAGTGTGAGGAGAATAAACGGTTACGAAAACTACCAGGAAAACCAGTGGTAGTGCACATGAATCGGTTGGCTCCTTACGTGGGCAGAATAAGCCCGAGGAACAGAGGAAGCAGCGAATGTGAGGCAAGCGAGTCTACGACAATCCACTTTCGCTAAATTTATCCCACATTCCTCTGATGGAATGTAAAGGGAACGCTTAGTGTTTTCCGTGACGAGTCTAAAGTTTGCTTGAATAAGGACCAGAATACGCTTTGGCTCGCTACGTAGCCAAGGATGTCAAGATGTCCAAAGGTATTGCCGTAGAAGTCAAGTTCCGGTTTGGGCGCTTAAGAGAAATCTATCTGCAATGTCCCGAGGTGGATAACGTGTGTTTCCTACAGGAGCAGGGACGATTTCTTTATGATCTGGTAACAAAAGATCGGTCTTGTGACAAACTTGGTTACGAATATTTTTGGAATGCGCTACAGCAAACAACAATACTAAATTCATAGCGTTACTAAGATGGCAATTCCGAAGATCAGATAAGTTGGACTGGCGCATCTTGCGCAATATGCTGGAGGTAGTATTCCAGAGCACCGAGGTGAAAATGTTGCTTTAACTCTAGAGGAACCGGTCAACCCATTCGTAAGACGAATTTGTTCTTTTTACTGCATTTTTCAAGAATTAAAAAAAAAATATGCTATTGTTTGCGTTTTGTCCGTCCGTCCGACCCACTTCTGCCGTTTTGAACTACTTCTAGGGGAATGGGCCTAGAGTATTTTTTGCAGTAGGTAACCTATACCTTGAAGGTGTGCCAGACGGCCATCAAATTTCGCTGTCTAAAAGCCCCCCCCCCCAAATTATTTCCTGATATGCTGTTTTTGAAAGTAAAACGTGCATAACTTTTACATACGACAACCAATTGGTTTCTACCAACTACTGCCCTTTTCTTTCTGTCCTGTTATCAAAGTACGGGGTGGAGGGGGAGAGGGGGGTGGAACTAATTTTATCCTTCACGGTACTTTAATGAAAGGTCTCAACGAAAGGAATGAATTTTTATCCCCATAGCCCTCCTCCTCGACCTCTTATCGTGATCGGGTATATTCCCTTATACCTCAAGAACGGATTTTCGGAAGAGGTACTCACAAAGGGCGATTGAGACGTCTGCGAGAAATATATCCATTGGTGATGTCAAAACAAAAGCTATTTCGGTTAAAATATGCCCTTTTATCTGCACAAGAGTTGTACACAATTTATACTTGTTTTCTTTAAGAATGAAAGATGATGCACGAGGGGGTCGTCGTGCAAGTACCGCCATCAAGTTCGCGTTACATAACCAGATTTGCCTGGGACTGTGTCTCCGTTACCACCGTCGTCCGTATTGCGAGACGCAGCAGTTTTAAGGGGGAGGGTAGTGTGGCGAACATTCCAGAAATCTCGATAGACATCGAGACGGCATGAAAGATTAGCCATCGGCGATAAAGAACGAAAGAAGCTGTGACGTAACTTTTCCTAGAAATATGACGAAAATATGTTCGAGAACATTCTAGAATAGCCGCTTGCGAAATAATTTTTGCTGGTCTTTTAGTATATGGAGAAATGGGGTATATGGAAAAAAGTAGTTAAACTCCCTCTGTATCTGTACTGTTTTCGTTTATTGAAAGAGCCCATCTGATGTCTGTCCCTCTCCTCCTTCTCTTTCCATTCGAGTACACAAAATCAAAGCAAATCCTTATCCTCAGAACTGCTCATCTTAAAACGCAACTGCTCAATAGCAAATACTGTGGCACAAGAGAGAATTGCGGCGTCGGCTGGGAGGAGAAGAAACGACGTGTTTGGTATACGACCTATATAGTGGAATTTTCCACCTGGCAGCGAGGCGCGCCGCGCTCCCTGAGTGCAAAGATATTGTTGTAGTATTATCTTTGCTGTGTGGGATAAGTAATTATCTTTGAGTATCATCAAAGATATATCCATAATCTTTGGTATCATCATTATGGTATCATGTACCTTTACATTCATTAATTATTACCGTCTACTACATTCATATCAACTACTTGTTCTTTACAGCCCCCGTCCATATAAATCCGACCGGTTTTTGTATTTTTGTCAAAACATTATTTTGCCGAGTTTTAGGAAGTACACATTTTCGTTGGGACACAGTGTATATTTTTTCTTAAGAAATGAATAGGGTTCGTTATAAGCACTTGACATTAGTTGTACTTTTCTTTGCTGTATTAATAATATTAAATATGCATAATAGATTCGTAACTTTGTTGAACTACCCCTTCCGCTTTCAATACGCAGTTCTGACGCTTTGTAAACGTCATAAACATCTGATCACCGCGTTTATCCCTTAGACCATATAGTACATGGACTGCTATTCGCCCTATGCTTTCAATACAAAATGGATGGTCACGGATAGAGGGCACTGTAGTCGTGGGTATGTGAATCTCAGGGTAAACTAAAGTCGTGTAAACACCACTAGGATCGCTTAAAGAGCAGCATTATAGTAACCGCGTAGTACGGGAAGCTTTAAATGCTCTTCATTATTTACTATACGTCCACAAATAAGAATAAGTTTGTTTTTTTTGGGATATCTAGGCGATTAATTAATTGACGTTTGTTAATTTATAGGTTGACAGTCTCAAATCGTGTCTCATCGGACAACTTCGGCCAGACTCGTTTACCCTGAAACTCACATACCCAGGCGATGTCCTTGACCATATTTTAGTTACAATTAGCAGTCCATGTACTATATGGTCTAAGGTTTATCCCCCAAAAGCCGACAGTTGGCAGAAAAATGAGGTTACATTTTCCCTCCTTATTTAATTCACGTTTCTTTACGTTTGGTTATGTCAGTTGTCATCGTCACGTCTAATATTGGAATTTCCCCAAACACAGTTTTGTATTGAATGTGAAAATTGTGTATTTGACCGAAAATCTTGCATGCCACTTGTTACCACGTACTTGTCACTTTACAAAATCTACCCTTTCTAAGATGCATGCCCTTCTTCGTTCATCACACTCTTACAAATTACTGAAACGTAAGTAATTATGTTGTAATAATGGATTATCCGAAAATCCTAATTTCAAGGTCTTAATTTTATCCAATTTTAGGTTCCACTCATTCAAATCGGGCTTTAAAATGTTTATGCAACGAGAGTGATCAAATAAAAAAATATTCGTCGGTACATTTCCAAGTTGCGATTCCGACAAGTCTTATCCACACAACGTCATCGCACAATAATTTAAGACCAAATTATCTTCATTCTGCAATTAGGAATTTTTCGTTAACACATATAAGTTTTGACAAGGAACCTTTAAAACCGTCATCAAAAATTGAAGTCACAGTTCAAGAAATAAAGAAACAAAAAGAAGAGTTACCCGCAACCGCACCGCCCAAAGCAGTTGTCAAGAAATCACTGAAGCAAAAAATTATCGACGAATTAGTTCATTACTACCACGGTTTTAGATTATTGTTTATAGACGTGAAAATATCCTCAGGTTTAGTATGGCGTTTATTGAAAGGAAAGTCCTTAACCAGAAGGGAACACCGATTGCTGGTAAGAACAGTAGGCGACATGTTCCGATTGGTTCCCTTTTCAGTATTCATTATAGTACCTTTTATGGAATTCCTTTTACCAGTATTCATTAAGCTGTTTCCGAGTATGTTGCCTTCAACATTTGAAACTACCTCCGAGAAGGAAAATAAGATTAAACAGAATCTAAAGGTAAAGCTAGAAATGGCAAAATTTTTGCAACAAACCTTAGACAATATGGCCGTGGAACATAAGGATCACAACTCCGAGCAGGCGAAAGAATTTAACGAATGGTTTCATAAAGTACGACAAAGTGGCGCCGAAGTTACTAATCAGGAAATAATGAAATATTCGAAATTATTTGAAGACGAAATAACCTTAGATTCCCTGTCGCGCAACCAACTGATTGCACTGTGCAAAGTACTGGAAGTGCAAACGTTGGGAACAAATAATTTTTTACGTTTTCAATTAAGAATGAAGATTCGCTCGTTGGCCGCGGATGACAAAATGATCCAAAAAGAAGGTATCGATTCCTTAACACTGTATGAAGTTCAACAAGCTTGTCGAGCAAGGGGGATGCGTGCTTATGGTTTACCGGAGGTACGATTGAGAAGTCAGTTAGCACAATGGTTGGATTTAAGTTTAAACGAAAAAGTGCCTCCATCATTACTGCTTTTATCGCGAGCTTTAATGTTACCCGATGCGATACCGACACATGACCAGTTGAAGGCTACAATTTCTGTTTTGCCTGTGACAATAGGAGCACAAACTGAAGTCGCTATTGGCGAAAAAGAGGGTAAAATTGACAATAAGATTAAGATACAAGTAATTAAGGAAGAGGAAAGGAAGATTAAGGAAGAGAGGAAGGAGCAACGGGAGCATTTGAAAAAAATAGAGGAGGAGAAGAAAGAAGTTTTAGTGGATAAAGCACCAATTATTACGGCCGAAGCAACTCCTCATCTTCAGGACACTGCTAAAGTTGTGTCTGTGACAACAGAGAAGCCTTTAGAAGCTAAGACTGAGGAATTAGTGGCTAACGATTTGCAAGTTATTGAGCATGCTTTAGAAAATATTTCTAAGGATACAAAGAAGTTTGTGGTAGAAAAAGAGGTCATTCAAGATCTCAAAGAAGAAATGGCCGATTACCAAGAAGATGTTCAGGAATTAAAGCAAGCAACTGCGGATGAGGTAAAACCGGCAGTGCAGGAAACTAAAGCTGCCCAACGTCTCTTCAAAAAGATCAATAGAATGATTGTAAAATTGGACACGGCCGTCGAACATTTACAAAACAAAGAGAAGCAGTTGAAAAAAGATCTCGAAACTGAGAGCACCGATAAGAAGAAGGAGGAATTGCTGGAGATTGATGAGATATTGGATGCAATAAAGAAAGTAAAGACGCTTCCCGATTATTCTAGATTGGAACAAATTAAAAAAGTCCTTGCGAAAATGGATGATGACTCTGATGGTTCTCTTAAAGTCGAAGACGTACTTAAGGTAAGTAGTAATTATAGGATCTTCTATTTCAAAATTAAATATAAAATAGTTGGATGTATGCTCTAACCTTGACCTTGACTTACATAACAGAATAAGGTTCAATTTTACATTAAGTAATTATCTGCCTTAGTTTTTACAATATGTACAATCAATTAAAAAAACGAACGATTAATAATTTCTTAATGGTCCATCTGATATAAGTATTTTTTTAGGTGATCGAGCTAATAGGAAACGAAAATGTTAAATTAAGCGGTAAGCAAGTGGATGAAATCATTGATCTTCTTGAAAAAGAGGAAATTTTGGAAGTGGAAAATAAAATCGAAAAGGCCCTACAAAAACAAAGAGAAATAAAAGCAGAAGCACAAGCGACAAAGTCTTCGGAAGTGAAACAAGCGTCCGAGGATGACACTCCAGTAACGCCCAATGAAAAAAATGAAACAAAAGTATCTTTTAAGTCTGTAGACGAACCCAAATCTCCACCATCAAAAATGGAATCCCAACCTTCAATACTTCCGCGACCTCCGATTAACAGTATTGATCCGAAAAGTAGGAATAATTCCAAAACTCTTTAATTATTTTTATTTTTAGTGCCTGTTATTGAATTTGTCCAGCTGTAGATTTTAATTTATCACATTCAGACAGTAGCAAGTTTTCTAAATAATTTTATTGTTCATAAAATGTACAAATAATGTAAAATAATAAATTATAGAAAAAGGTATTCTTAAGAATAACACTGTTGTGTAATGTAAAAGCACACTAATGTTTTTGTTGTATATTGATAGACTTAATTTGGCATTGTGCTAATATATTATTAAGAATCTCGTTTCTTAATAAAGCATGTATCGTGTATTTATTATTGATTTTATACATCGCACGTTCTTGAATGAAAACGGAATTATCAAAAAGTAAATTGCACAAGTACCAACGCTAAAACCGTAAAAAACGACAAGCGCCTACCTGAAAGTTAATATTTACACCATTGGGTGCAGTCTTCATCATCTCAATAAAACTTCCACTTCAAAAAAAAATCCTATATATGCTGAATTCAATTTTCGCTCACACTCGCCAACAGTAGAGTTCCTGAGATAAAATATACCTAACCCTTCTGAAATTTTAGACTAGATAACTTCAAAATGGTGTCCTGTAATAAGGTGCTTGGCGAAATCTCGGAATCCTGTTTTTCGATTTTCACCAAAAACAATAAGGCTTCCAGATCTTCGTAAGAGCTATAACTACCCTCCATTTTCAACTTGATTGCGTGAAAATTGCGATCTGTATTGTGGTGACAAGAAAGCGTTACGCATACACTCAAACATTTTTTTAAAATCGCATTTTCGCGGTTCATGTACCTCATGCGAAGCTTCTATGGTGAAAAAAGAGTTTTATTTTTGTACCCAAAAAGGGAGCATAAACAAGCGCCTATACAGGGTGGTGCCTAGAGCAACGCAGCATAGGGATTTCAATGGTAATTTCTTTATGGCCAATTGCTAGTTCCCTAAATTATTTTAGAGCAAAAGTCTAAATACGTTTCTTTTAGAGAAAAAAATACTGCATCTGTTCATACTATTAGTTATAATTTTCCATTTTTCAAACCCGTAGAAATCGAGAAAATAAAAAATTACATTTATATAAATCAGTGATGCTTTGGAATCTTTTAACAAATTACAAGCGCATCGCATCTAAGTTATCGTTGTTTGACGTCGAACGATTTTCATATTTAATTCTGTTTGAACTAACCGACGCAATAAAAGGCATCTTAGGGTAATGTTTTTTAGAGATTGTATGGTGCATCTACATCAGATACTATTTGTTTATCATTTTCCGGAATCAGAGTACCTACACAATCGAAGGAAAAAAACTGATTTGAAGAAGGCTTGTTCCTAAACTTATATTCGGACTTTCCGCTACTGCAGCCAAAACGTTGAATGTATTGTCGTTTTCCTGATGGTTTTGACGGACATTTTGAACGTTATTGCACTTGCAGTTCTTTAACTAATTTATACACAAGTATAAATTTAATATACATCAAAGGCAAATAATGAAACGTGATCGCAGTTTTTTTAGGAAATTCCAAGGCATATTTGATTTATTGTAAAATGAACCTTTTTACTTTGTCGATTTCTACGGTTTTGAAAAACGGAAAATTATAATTAAAAGTATGAACAGATGCAGTATTTAGACTTTTGCTCTAAAATAATTTGGGGAGCTAGTAATTAACTATAAAGAAATTACCATTGAAATCCCTATGCTGCGTTGCACTAGGCACCACCCGGTATATACTTTTTCGCTGCGCAAAAATGTGGACGCTTGTAACAAGAACTGGGAGATGAGGGGGGTTATTTAAGTGGTTAATGACAATCTAAATTTTGCTATTAATTATACGTATTGATGCACAACGTAACGGGTATAAAAGTACGAGTAGAACTCAATGAAACGGCATAATGTTTTAGTTCATAAAAAGTATTATCAGATTAATGCATCAGCATTCCACTGTAGAGAAACATGCAAATGTAAAGGTGCACTTATTACAACAGCAATACTAGAAGATTGTTATGAACTATACTTACTTACCTGTCTAAAATTTAAAATATCTACCTATGCCAATTAAGCGGCATAATGAAGACATGCCTGAAAGAATTGTGCTGAAAAACGGTCGGTACAAAAAGGTCATGGTTCAAACTAAAATAAATACCATATGCGATCAAAAATGAGTTGCTGTCGAGTCACCTTTGGAATTTTTGTTTACATGGGAAATCGTACTTAAACTTCCAAAGGCGACTCGACAGCAACTCATTTTTGATCGCCCGTTACTTACCTCTAATAACAAAACCTATAGAGGTATGCTGATAGAAATGACAGTTTGGCCTTTGACTGAGGTTCAGAATTGGAACCCAATGCAGCGTGATACCTACTTATAGCACAGATTTATAGTATATTTAAATCTGTGCTTATAGCTTCCTATCCTACCACATGTATAATAAGAATCAAAGATTTGGATGCCTATGGAGAATAGGTATACCTAATATAATACAGTAGAAGTGTTGTGTATCACACAGCAAGTAAAAATTGGTGGTAGAGAGGTCACTACGCCGCTCTACACAGGAACAATTTTTATAAAACCCTCCAATGGCAAAAACATAGTAGGTATATATATGTAAGCAAAAGAGGCCCAACAGACATTTCTCGGGATAAAAGTAAATATTTGGTTTCAAGTAGAAGTAATAATAAAAACACACCAAAGTGTGACCAACATAAGCTCTTCAAAGCCATGTGAATTGTTGAGTTTTTAAATGCCTAAAAATTAGTTTTATAATCATTCATGTCGCAATTTGGAGGAATTTGATCCACATTAAAAGAAATACTACCTACCACTATCATTTCTACGCTGTACATCACATTTCATTATGATTCGTTTTTAATTCAATTTGACGCTAAGCCTGATGATGGAGTGATATCAGCTCCTAAATCGATAGCTAAAAGAAAAATAAAGCATTATTTTATCGTGTCACAACACATACCTACCTACTTACCACGTTTCATTTAAATATCTTCATAAATAAAAAGTTAGCATTGCATATGCTTTAAACCAAATTCTTGACACTGCGCTAAACCAGAAAATATCGGTACGCACGGAATCCTTGGACAAGCCCTTTCAAATTAGCCCTTTCAAATGAGCCCTATATCGCCCAAATCGGTTCAATGGTGTAGAAGGAGTAGGTACGTGTGACGGACGGACGGACGACAAAGTGCAGCCAATACGCTAAAAAGAGTGAGGCAGCAGGTCGATGCATCAATCGATATCTATTTTTCATTTTTTTATTTGTTATTTCATTTTGATTTTAAACACTCTAAATCTGTGGTTTAACTATGTAAGGTTGCCATAATAATATCTCAATCAATTACCTACATTTTAATATGCATATGACGTAATGTTAATTTCTATGAAAAAATCATCAAAACGATTTACTTAAAGCGCATTTCCGCTTGCAATCATTTCCCATTTGTAAGATGCAACTTCTGTTAAAATCTAAAAATCCGGCCACAAATATGAAAGATAGCGTTGCATATGTGCAATCCATTTTTGACGTGCTACTTCAATTTCTGTTCATAAGAAGAATTTCATTTCAATGCTTTTCTAAGTAAGAAAGTTGGAACTGCGCATGCGGAAATCTAAATTTTGAAATTAACGTTACATTTTCCTTTGTTCCAAGCGCCTAGTATCACATTTCGTTTAAATTCTTCCATAAATAAAAAAGTTGGCACTGCGCATGCGCAAAACCAAATTTTGAAATGGCGTTTGATTTTCCTTTATTCAAGTGCCTATGTATCAAATTTCATTCAAATACTTTTATAAATAAAAAAATTTGCAATTCGGGTTATAAATGGTCGAGATGCGAAAAGGTGACTGTGAATGTTGAATCGATTCGACTCAACTTTTGGCATTGCGTATTATATGCCTAAAGCTGTGCACATATTGAATTTCATGCAATTCAGTTCATAACTAACGGAGATGTCAAGCGATTGGTCATTTCTAAACAAAGCTATCGTTCACACGGACAGATAGATGGACAGACAGACAAAGGAACCGACGGACAGACCAACAGACAGCAATACAAATTATAAACGATCTCTAGGATCGTTAATAAACGGTAAAAGTGTAAAATTATGGAACATGTAAAAAATGGTGGTTTTTTACAATAACTTTTTTAGCAATAAAAGCAGAAAAAATTCCTTCCTTGGTGCAAGCCTCGACACCATAACGATCCAAATAGCGCAAAGTAGAACAATAGCTCTTAAGATAAAGAACTAGTAGCGTCTCAACGGATGACGGACAGACAAACAGACGGACGTACGGACAAAGTGGCCACAGTAGCGCATTTTTTTATTTTTGTGGAAATGCGCTAAAAAGAAGAAAAGGGAGGGAAAAAGGAGTTGTTTGTAGATAAGGACAGCAGTGATGTTGAGAGCGAAGAACATTTTGAAAGCTGTTCAAGTTAATCATAATTTCCAGATGAAGCAAGCCAATGAAATGCACGATGAGGCTAAACAACACAGGCATAGAAATCAAAAGAGGCAGAGAGGTGCAAAGGAGGCAGAGAGAGAAGTAAAATTTCTCTGCCTGTTTTCCGCTTCTCTGCCCCTAGCAACGAAACAATACGTCGCTGTTTGAATATGATCAGCGAAATGTCAAATTGGACGTATACGTATAAAAAAAGAAATTTTTATGAATTTACGACCCCCTACCATAGAGTATATATTATTTACTCTATGCCCCTACAAATCTTACAATCGATAAACGTGAAAGAATTTTTTATCGTGCTATTAAAACACACACTTTAGTCTCTTGGTATATACTTGCCCCGTGTTTTTCGCCCAAATGAGCATTTGTCCTAGATAGCCAAAAAAAAAACTGGCAACGCTAGCTTAGTGCATTCCTTTACTTACAGCAATATTGTAGTTTACAGTTGAACAAATATGATGCTTATAGGTACTAAATGTGTTCTTTTTTTAAATACCCTTCAAAGTCATTGTTGTTAAATTAGCGCGGTTCCACTTATCCCAGTGGAGATTATTTTACCAGAAGCAGGCATATTAATTCGTGACCAACTGCACGAAAGTATTGTTTAAATAATATTTAAACAATAACAGAAGATAAGTAGTCTTGTCGTGTGGCAGTATTTCTATAATAAAATTTATGTATTACTAATAAATTCCTGA